ACGGCCTAGGAAAGATGCCGGCACTGACCTGACCTCCCTGCGCAGAAGGACAGCGTGTGGCAATCTGTGGTCAGACTCACTGCTGGCTAAGCCACTTCTGACACTTGTCCCTAACTCCAGGACACGGGCTCCCACCTGACAGAGAGGGACACATGCCACATCCTGTCTGCAGAGCTCAGGGCCCAGGCAGGGGGGGTGCACAGGCTAAGGGACCTCCTCTCATCCTGAGGCTGCTGAGACCACCCAGCACTCAGGGCACTCAGCCACCCCAGCTCAGTGCACAGGCCAAGGACTGAAAACCCTGCGGCCAGGAGTTTACCTTCATAGATGACTCACGGGGTTAACTCTGGAGACACAGAGGCTGTCGCTGCTGGTCCCCCAGCCCCCATCCATCCATCCATGCTCCTTGCAGGTTCTCTGACTCTGTCCAGCAGGGACGTCAGGGGTCTCAAGAGTCAGGGTAGCAGAAGTCCACATATCGCCCTGGAAAATTCTGCTCAGCCCAGAGTGCAGCCCTGTCTGGGAAGTTCTGGGAGTGGATGGGCCACCGTGGCTCAAGGGAAGTGAGCCACAGCCACTGCAGAGGGAGGAGGGTGAAGTGGAGGCTCCCACAGCAAAGCTGCTGGGTGACAACCACCCCACGATGGCTCCTGACTCAGTGCACAACACGTGTCTCCTGCAGCATCTTCCCCAGCTCCCCCCAACCCTACCACACCATCTAACCCTGGGTCTCCCTTCTTCTTCCCCTCGGGAGACACTGCACGTGGCAGGGAATCAGACACTGGGAAGGAAGCCACACTCCAGAGCCACCCACCCCTGGGCTGCAACACTCTCCTTCCCTGTGGACAGAGCAGCTCTGTCACCCTAGAATTCGCTGGAGGCCTAATCTCTGATCAGGCGGCATTCAGAGGTGACGGCTGTGGGAGGTGACCAGGACAGAGCACCTACAGTGGGATGAGTGTACTTACCATAAAACCTCCCTGAGACCCCTTCTCTCTAGCACAGTAGGAGGACCAAGCGAGACGACAACCTGTTACAGACCAGGAAGCAGACTCACCAGAACCCAGCTGTGCTGGGACCTGACCTGGGACTTCCAGCCTCCAGAGCCATGAGAAACAAATTCCTCTTGCTCAGAAGCACCCTGTCTTTGGTGCTCTGCACAGGTGCTCAGATGGATGAAGACAAGTACTTGCTAAGTGTGTAATTCAGACAGATGTCTAACCTCAGTGCTCCACTCCTGCAAGACAGTGACGATGACACTGTGCTCCCTACACTTGTTCGAACTGAATGAAACGATGGATCTGTGGTGCTAGTAATGCTCTTTCAGTGTTTGTCTCTTTCTTTTTTCGCTCTCCTCTCTGGCTTTTCCTCTTCCCCTTCTCCTATAGAAGTAGGGTTCAGAAGAGAACGCAAACCGAGGTGCGGAGGAATCCTAGCATTTCATATCCAGAATGAACCTGAAAGGTCCCCACTCTGACCTGCTCAGTCCATAGCTGACATCGATCACAGAGCAGCTGAGTGGTGGTGGTGGGGAGGGTAGACCAAGTCTTCTCCCTGGGCCACCTCCTGCCTCACATCACAGGAGAACCAGGACGAGGGGGAGAGAGGAAGACTACATCTGCATATCTGTGTTCTGTCCAGTCCAGATTTACTCAGAATAGGGGCTGCTCTGATCTCTTCAAAACCTGACTCACTCTGATGGGAACTCTTCAAAACTGAGATCACTATCTTTCTAACTGGTGTTAACACTTCGCCCAATTGTGTCACCCCCCCAAAGGTATACACGGTGTTGAATGCCCCATGTTCCCTGTTAGGAGAACCTCAGGCATCTGTCAAGCCTGGCTTCCCCCTCCTCAGCTCCCAGGCTTGGCCCTGGCCCAGCCCAGTCCCTGGGCCAGCCCAGGCTGCCCTGACATCCACACCTGCTATGGCAGGCTGGTTCACCACTGCATGACTCAGTCATATTGTTTGGGGGAAGAGTCCATGCTACTGGTATGACTTGTATCTGCACATCCCCTCAAAGCCTTATGGATCATGGTTGGGGCTTTGGAGAGGTGACTGGATCACGGGCACTCTACTCACTAGTGGACTAGTTCTCTGTTGTGTTTGCAGCTAAATGCACTGTCCAGAGGCGGGGCCTGGGAGGAAGATGTGATCGCTGGGGCCGTGGCTTGCAAGGACTCATCTCCCTCCCTGGCTCCTCCCTTCTCACTCTGCTTCCTGTGCGCCATGCTGTGAGCAGCTCTCCTCTGCCTGGCCCTTCCGCCATGTCTTCCTGCCTTGGAGGAAGCCAACCGTGGACTAAAAACAGGAGCCAAAACAAACCTCTCCTCCTTGAAGTTTTGGTGTTGGGTATCGTGTCTCAGCCAGGAGAAAGTGACTAAGATGCTGCGTAAGGGCTAGAAAGGAAGGTGCAGGCTGAGGGTGGAATGCTGTCCCCTCCAGTTGCTGACACTCAACTGCTACCGGAACTGGGCCCCGCATGGGAGGCAAGGCTTGTCTCCAGTGTCACTCAAAGGCCGTGGGACCTCTAACCATGAGGCCCCAGGCAGGACTTGGGGTCCTGGGAACCTGCTTGTGAGGGAACAGTGGGACCTCAGACCTTCCTCTTCCTCCCACGTGCTTCCCAGACACGAGGTGAGGACTCGCTGCCTGGCCCCTGGCTCGGAGCACTGAGCCGACCAATCACAGATAGAAATCTCTGAAACTGAGACTCAGAAAGACTTTCCTTCTGCAGCTGATCATCTCAGCTGTGCATTAGTTATAGCAGTGATGGGATGCTAGCACCATTGCCATGGTAACAGGATGGGAGGGGGCCGGTAAGTGGTGTGGACTGGGTGCTGATATAAAAGGGTGGGCGCCGACACCCTTCTCCCTCTCCTGCCCTCATGGGACGGCACAGCCAGAGGCCCCTGGAGAGGTGCGGGAGGACTGCTCCCCTCCCGCCCTCAGAACAGTCAGCCACCTGTTCCTTAGAAGTGGCTCCACCTGGGTGTGCTGTTCCAGCAGTGCACACTAAGCTGGGGCACACCAGAACCACTCCACCATCTTGTGTGGCTGTGTGTGACGTGGGCAATTTCCCGATGACGCTCCACGCCCCCTCTGCTTCTCAGAGGGAGGTTTTCCTGGTGGAACAGGAGTGTCTGTGTGTGTGTGTGTGTGTGTGTGTGTGTGTGCATGTGTGCTGTTCCCCAAGGCCCAGCTATGAGGCCCCCCTGTGTGCAGCATCCTGGCCACGGTGCTCACCCCACCACCCCACTTCCTGAGTCAGGCCCTGTGGTCATGAATTCCTTCTTCAAATAACTTTGCGAAGACAGGCACGCATGAGTAACCGTGAGCCCGGCCCGATGATGCGAGTTTATGTGGCTTATCTCATCTGCACGGCGTGTCAGCCAGACGCTGAAGGGGAAGAGTTTCACTGTCAGTTCCCAGGACAAAGAATCCAGAGGAGTGAACATCCACATGTGGGTGGCCCGGGAGGCTCTGACAGCACCTCGCTGCCCGCCCTGGCTCCTCCAGGCCTGCTTTGTTGATTTCTCAAAACAACAAAGACAGCGCTGGTGCTCTGCGCTCCCGGAACCCAGAGATCCTACAGCCTGGTGTTTCACACTGGCTCCAGCTCTGAAAACAATCTGGAAATATGCTTTGCAGAGGGGAATAAATTGTTCCTGGAAATCATCAACAAGTCGATCAATATATGCTTTCATTCTTTTGCTCATTTCTGCAGTCACTCCTTACACAGGTGCACAGTGGATCACCTGCGGCTCCGGGAGTCAGAAAGGCAAGAGCCAGATCCTTCGCCCCTCTGCTTGTAAGTTTAATTTTTTCCAGTAGTGCGAGCTAACCCAGGGTCTCCTGCGTGCCAGGCAAATGCTCTGCCACTGAGCTGAACCCCCATGTCCAGGCCCATATTCGGGTCCTGGGGAAACCTTTCTAACAATCTCACTCTTGTTACGACCCATGTAAAAATGGGAAAAGCACTAACCTTGTAGGTAGTTTGTAGAATTAGAAGAGACGGTGCATTCAAGTGCAGCCACAGCAGGGAGGCTGTACCCTGCCACGGGGTCCACACAACGAGGGCCGGTGAGCAAGATGAGCCCAGCCAGGTGCCATCAGAGAGCTCGAACCATGTGGCTGCCAGCATGTGAAGTGTGTGCCTCTGCGCCCTGTCCAGCTGCTCGCTGGTGTCCTGAGTTCTCACTCTGGCGTCCCACTCCATCCGTCCCTCCCCGCAAGGGTATCCAGGCCAACCACCTCTGCCACTGCACAGCCCAGGCGGGGACAGTGGCATCCAGGACGGGAAGCCCTCCCTGCCCCTGCTCTCAAGGACAGCGCTGAAGGGAGCAGACACCACCGCCTGACCGGGAGCTGCACCATTCACGGACTCACCTTGCGGAGCTGGAGAACGGATTTAAGAGATTACTTACTTTCACCTTCTTCGCTTTCACCAATGAACAGGACCCGGGAAAAAAATTGGAGGCTTTGCGAGGGTTACACAGCTGCTGCAGGCACCAGACCCCTCCCTGTGACTCAGATATAAATAGCTACTGGCAGTATCCCCAAATCAGCCCCATCTTCAGCAGATTAAGTGATTGTGTAGATAATAGCACATATTCATTCCAGTACAACATTTTAATGATTTCTGGATGACGGATGAGAGGGCCTAGATTATCGCTCAGAGGTATTTTACATTCCGAAAGCTGCCACCCTTTGCGATGAGAGTCAAGGAGGCCTATGCCCGACCAGAGCCACGAGACGACACACCCCATGGGGTGACTTTTGAAGCATCTCCACGACTGTCGTTTCCTTCAGCCGCACGGCTTATAGGTTGAGTAAAGGAGCATGAAAAAGCATGAAAGGTCACATCTGTCTGTCCCCCAAAATCCAGTCGTCTCGTAATTCATAAATGAAGTAAAAATGAGTGGTATTAGAGTCAGTGTCCTCCAAAAAACCAGAAAAGATAGGAAGTACATGCATACATGTGAACATGAGAGAGACTGCAAAGGGTTGGCATGTGCAGCTGAGAGGCTGGCGAGTCTGAAATCACTTGGGGCAGCCAGGACCTGGGGAAAGAAGAGATTGCGTCTGGTAAGCGTAATGGCCAGCTCAGCTGGGTGGAGAAGTTCCTGCACTGGGAAGTGAATCACGGGGCTCTATGTCCATCAGCTCATTAGTCCACTGCTATCCACACCTGAACACACAGTTAAGAGTGCAGGCGATGGGCCTCGGCGGGCACATCTGTCACTGGCACTGTCCTCTGTGCTCGGCCTCCTGGCCACCATGAAGTCAGCAGCTGTCCTCCCCCAGGCCCTTCCACCTGATGTTCCCGCCTTGGAGCCAGCTGAGCACAGACTGAAGCCTCTGAAACCGTGAGCCACAGTAGCCCTCTCCTCCCTCAAGTGATGGGTGGGCATTTCGTCCAGCACTGGGAAAGCTGACCAAGCAATCTAAGTCCAAATCCTAAAGGAAGGCAACAGGTGGGGAACTCAGGCAGGGTTTCCATGCTGCAGTTCTGAGAAAAAAAAACTCCTCTTTCTCCAGGAATCCTCCGTGTTTCCTCTCGAGGCCTGCAACTGATGGGTTCGGGCCTGGAGGATGGAAGTATCAGCTTTATTGATGACAACTGACAGTGATTGTGAAGCACACCGGGAAAGTCCTTCACAGCAATGCTTCCTGCCTGGCCACATCCGGGTACCATGGCCTGGCCAAACTGATATTTGAAATCACCATCACAGTGGGGCAGAGGACAGGAAGCCTGGGGTGCCACATCCCACTCCAGACCCAACACCAACCCCACCACAGCGCAGCTGTGCTCAAGCCGGAGACAGAGGGCTCAGTCAAGTTCCAAAAGCATCGCTGGCACCAGACACTACTTACAGCCCTGTGCTCTGCACCCTTGAGGGACACGGGAGGGACCAAATGGGGGACCACGTTTTCACCATCCCTCCATATAAGAGGCAGCATTCCTTATTTTAAATTATTTATTACTTTGTGTTCCCAGTTAAACTTAATGTGACAGGCCAACTCTTTTACTAGGCAATAAAAAATATTAATCATACTCCCCGATGAGTAAGCTACAAGGCCAAAAGGTGAGCTGTTTACTGTATCACCCCACTGAAAATGTGTGAGCACAGCCTGCTATTGCTGCTACAAGTAAGAACAGCTGCAGAAAAGAACAAGACAAACTGGTTACTGGCCTCCTTGAAAGCACCTAATTTGAGAATAATGGCAAAACTGTCTGTGTTTGCATAAGGAGCAAAGTGATTGATGGATGGGGGCAGCCAAGTTCCATCCCCAAAAAAGGGCCTCCCGCAGGGAGTGGGTGCTGAAAACGGGGGAGCAGAGGACTGACAGAAATATCACTGTGCAGTCACCTGACTTCAGGGTCCCCTCTTCTCCATGTGCTGAATAAAACAGTAAATTCAAATTAGTCCCTTCACGGAGGACTAAAATGGCATTGAAAGCCCTGCTTTGTCATTTGGTTTTGGTTTTTTTTTTTTTTTTTGAGAAGCCTGTGTGCCCGTACATATGGACACCAGACGGGAGCTGATTCTCCAAACAAAAACAAAATAAACCAAGGAGCCTCACCCTCACATAAAAGCTGGGCTGACTTACCTGCTGGGAGGCTCCCTGGGTCCAGCTGGAAGTAGCTGGTGACAAGTGAGCTGGGGAGGGACCGACAGAGGATGGGATGGGGGAGGGGTGCTGCCAGGGCTGGGCTGTGTCCCTCCCCCCTGGGCTGTGGGGTTTGCAGGAAACGGAAGGAGGGAGGAGAGGGAACCCTGAAGTTCCCATTGACATGGCTGTGTCTGCAGCCTGGAGGGAAAGCGCCCTTTCAGAATCTTAGGCCTTTCTCTGCTGGAATTATTCATACCATGTCCCCACTGTCCAGCAAAGTGGCCAAACACACAGAGGCCTCTGCCACTTGTCCTATGCAGAAATCGGTAAGTGATTGATTGACTCTATGAGAGTTGCATTGGTTGCCCTCAGAAGAAGTCCCAGCTCTTCAGTCTGTTATGAAATTCATTCTCTTGAACAGCAGTTGGAAAAGGGCTTTCCCGACTACACACTGGAGGGATGCAATGGAATACTCTCCCAGCTATTTCTTGCCAACTTCATACAGGGCTTCCTTCTTCGTTTCTTATTTTTCTCATGTTCTAGCCATCCCTTCTCTTGGCTTCAGTTAGGCTTCCTTGTTTCAAAAGCCAGGGCATTTGTATGTGTGTTCTATTTTGTACATATGTGTCCCAATGAGAGCATAATTGTCCTTTGATCACTAATGTTTACGGACATTTCCCAGGTCCCTGAATGCATTGGCACCTTCAGCAGTGCTTGGTCATGAGGGGGGAAAGCTGACAAGTTGCAGAGTCTGCTGGTTGTAAGGAATGGAGGTGCACTCAGGGATTCTCAGACGAGCAGGCCTAGTGCCTCAGAGCACACTATGGCAGAACCTCCATCAGGACAGTGGCTGCCACTCTTTCCCCTCTGCGTGTACACATTACTCCTTCTGTCCAGAAAAGGCCTTTCCTTTGAGATCTGGGTGGAAGCCTCCCTGACCCCACAGGTCTTGCATTCTGCATACCTGCAAAACCAGTGTCCTGTAGACAGTGCCAAGGTCTACTGTCAACAGAAGCAATCGGCAGGCTCCCTTGGACCATGACTGCAGAGGCCTCTGAGTGCCTGGATGGTGAACATGGTGAAATGTATTCCAGGGGATCAATTCTCTAAGAGGCCCTTCTCAAGTAGGTGTTTCAGAAACTTTTTTCTCAAATGAATGACTGATGCTTTTTCACTTTTGAGTCTGAAAAGGGTGTGATCTTGCTGATTTCTAAAATATGCTCCCAAGGCATTTTTTCTTGTGTATGTTCAAAATAACTTGGTTTCTTTTTTAAATAATGTTAATATTTTTAGCAGCCACACCTCCCTGAGCCCCAACTTTGTACATCATTTCTTCTGAGTGAAAATTTAAGTTTTTCAAATTTTTCTTCTCTGCTTTTTGCTCTTGGTTTGTACTGTCAATCTGGTGAACACAGTCAATTGTACCCATGCCACAGTCTGAATGTTGGGCTGTCTTAAAATTTCTTCCAGCAGATTCATTAGTCTATGGCCCTTAGTCTTCTTCTCCTGCAATGTCTCAGCACATAGGCAAGTTGTAGAAAAATATTTTTGCTACAGCCTAACACACATGGCTTCTGATCCAACCACCAATGTTTCTACCCAAAATCACTTGTGCCTCACTTTCACTGTCCACATTCATCTGAGCATTCTGATCTTCTGAACTCTAACCAGAATCATTCAGCAGACTCTGCTTACAGAATTCTCTAGCCTGCATCTCAAAATGTTCCCAACTCCTTCAGCTACCCAATTTCAAAGGATTCTAAAAACACGACCAACCTGGTGTAGTCACAGCAACAGCCCTACTTCTCTGGTATCAACTTTCTGTATCAATTAGTTTTCTCTTCACTGAGACCTGATGATCACAGCTTAAAGGAAGACAGGTAGACTTTTCACAAATGGAAAGGTCTCACTGCTGAGACAAAAATACTTGATAACCCACAAATTAAAGGAGGAAAGGTTTACTTCAACTCATAGTTTGTAAAGGTTTCAGTCCATGGTTAGCTGGTTCCAAGGCAGGGCAGCAAGGTTCAGGGAAATGGCAGAGGAGAAACAGTCCACAGCAAGGCAGGCAGGAAGTAGCATCATAAGCAGCAGCAAGTCTGCCTTATTTTTGTCTCTTTATATTCTATTCAGGCTACAAGCTTATTGTCATTAACTTTTTTGTGTGCTTTTTTGTTTTTTCTTTTTTGGTACTGGGGATTGAACTCATGTCCTTGTGCTTGCAAGGCAGGCAGCAGAACCACTGAGTTAAATCCCCAGCCCCAGGCTATAAGCTTATTGACTGGTGCCACCCGTACTCTGAGTGGGGCTTCCATTATCCTCACCCTTAATTCCTTAATTCCAAAATCACACCCTTAATCCACTTTCAAACACCCTAATCCAGCCACCTTTGAAACTCCTCACCTATAAGTGCATGCGGCTTTGGGGAAAATATATATATATATATTTCCCATAGTGAGTGTATTCATTATGTATTGCAAACATGTGCTAATACAGTGGACACTCATGCTCCTGATACATGAACAACTTGAGTTAATTAGGTTAATGGAAGATTCACCTGCCGCTTATTATCTCTAGTGTGTACCCAAGTGAACACCCAGATCTCAGCTGTACTGACTTAAAACCAATGTGAGTTACAACCAGCCCTTAGGAACCAATCAAGTTTGTAAGTCAATGGTCCACTGTAAATGACTTTTCTTTTGATATTGGGGACTGAACCCAAGGCTTTCATGCTGAGCTACATTCCCAGCCATTTTTATGTTCACTTTTTTGCTATTCTAAGATGGAATCTTGCTAAATTGCCCAGGCTGGGCTAAGTCTGTGTGTGTGTGTGTGTGTGTGTGTGTGTGTGTGTGTGTGTGTGTGTGTATGGTACCAGGGATTGAACCTGGGACCTTGCTCTTGCAAAGCAGACAGTGGAACCACTGAGCTAAATCCCCAGCTCTTTGTAAATAATTTTTTAAAAGGAAGGGCCTTAGTTTGACTTACACTTTAAGGAGATTTATTCCATAATGGTACAGCTCAAGGCAGGAGCACCGTGGCAAGGCATGGTTTGTTCATGGTGACCAGGAAGCAGGACAGGGGAACAGCGCCAGAGAAGAAGGGGTGGGAACGCTATGTAGTAGTTGAGCTCACGGCTTCATGACCCACCCAGACGCACCCAGGAATCTACTGATCTGCTGGGTGCCTCCTAAGCCAATGAAGTTGATATATCCGATTAAAGGTTAGGTGTCATAACCACCCACGCTGTAGGAAAGTGCATGTAATGCTCATGGGCACAAAAGGTGATGGAGGGGAACAAAAATCTTGCCTCACACAACCCAGAACAGTTGCCTTGTATGTGTTCGAGACAGCTGTGGCTTCTCCACAGCCAGAGCCTTAGCTACTACCACAGAACAATTCCCTGGCTTCAGTTAACTTCTGGATTCGATTTGTGCATTTGGAT